GTGGGGTTATAGAGTCTGAAATCTTGGGTAGCTTTCCAAGCTACCCAAGATATTTCCAATAATAATGCTTAATAATAAGTTCCCTTGAAACATGAAAAACAAAGTCCACCCCTGACAGTGACATGATAAGGGGAGATAACATCTGATAAGAGCTGACGTTTGATGAGCATACACAAGGGTGGGGGAGAGTGCAGCTGATAAGGAAAGATTAGATGACCATCCCCCTCGCTTTCTTTTTGCTGGTACACAAACATTTCTGTCTATTTGTCTGTCTGTCAAACTCCCTGTTTATCTGTCTAGCTCTCTCTCTCTCTCAGAGAGAGCTATAAGACTGCGTCATCATGTTTACTCACATCTTCAAGCAGAGTATAACACTTTGCTGGATTTTTGGGTTATCCTAGGTAATTTATACTACGTATACTTGTATATATGTGTACCTGTGAGACAGAGATAGACAAAGACAGATTGAAAGAGATAGACAAAGCCAGAGACAGATAGACAGAGACAGAGACAGATAGAGACAGAGACAGATAGACAGAGACAGACAGACAGAGATAGAGATAGACAGAGATCGTCAGACCCTAAACGTGGGGTTAACATGACTTTCCTCTTAAAAGAGGAGTGTTAATATGACATTACATCAGTGAATCCTTGGTGTTTACTGCACTGTTTGCTCTAGATGGGGCTCAATTTAACTGGCGCTCCCACAAGGTACTAAGTGGTCCCAGATTTTTTTTATTACTGTGCACACCGAGTGTTAAGACCAATTCTATGCTGACCAGGCATCTCAGGTCAATGGTGCCAGATTTGGAGGCAGGAAAATTAAAACATATACATGTATATACGTTTGGGGCGCTACGCATAAGAACGTATATATACATTTGGACCGTTTAGGGGTTAAAGGCTCCCCATTTCATTTATCCCTGGCACCCCAAATTTACCTACCACTCCCTCCACAACATTTTTACCCACTTTAGCATTGAGATCCCCAACCACAAGTATTCTCTCACTTAGTTCAAAACTCTCCATGCACTCACTCAACATTACCAAAAATTTCTCTCTTTCTACACTTCTCTCTTCTCCAGGTGCATAAACACTTACTATAACCTACTTTTCACATCCAATGTTTATTTTACACTACATAATCCTTGAATTTATACATTTATATTCCCTCTTTTTCCTGCCATAACTTATCCTTCAACATTATTGTTACTCTTCCTTTAGCTCTAACTATATTTGAAACCCCTGACCTAATCCTATTTATTTCTCCCCACTGAAACTCTCCTACCCCTTTCAGCTTTGTTTCACTTAAAGCCAAGACTTCCAGCTTTTTCTCCTTCATAACATCCACAATTATCTCTTTCTTATCATTCACACAACATCCATGCACATGCAAACATCCCACTTTGATGGTTTTCTTCTTTTTCTTTTTAGTAAGCTATACGGGAAAAGAGGTTACTAGCCCATTGTTCCCGGCATTTTAGTTGACTCTTACAACATGCATGGCTTACAGAGGAAAGATTCTTATTCCACTTCCCCATGGATATGAAATGAAAGGCACTAAGAACAAGAACTACTAAAATAAAATCAAAGTAAACTCAGATGAGTGTGTACACATAAATGTGTACATGTATGTGTAGTGTGACCTAAGTGTAAGTAGAGTAGCGAGACGTACCTGAAATTTTGCATGTTTATGACACAAAAAGACATCAGCAATCCTACCATCATGTAAAACAAATACAGGCTTCCTTTTTACAGTCACTTGGTAGGATGGTAGTACCTCCCTGAATGGTTGTTGTCTACCAGCCTACTGCCTGTGTACTCCGATAATTATACTTATGTGCATCTGTACCTAAATAAACTTATGTACTGTGCTGGCATGCAGGTACACATTAAAATCAATAAGTGTGTTCCTATAGTCTTGATGCCATAGTAATAATACTAATACATAATAATAATCACTCTTGGGCACATTAAATGTCTTATTTTACATTAATAGAGACATTTTCATTAATCCATCTGTGATATTTTCTTCAAAGTTATATATGAAACACATTACATAGCATATAAACATAATACATACACCCACAGTAGAGAAAATTTCACATAAATATGAGATGTGGTAGCCGGGTGAGGGGAAAAAATTCTGTTTTCTCTAGTCCAACACCTGAGAAAATGTGTATCAATGTGCATTTGACCCAGTGACTTCCCTTACGCATTGAGGTTTGTTTACAATTCTTGGCATGAGTACTACTCATCACTTCTCTGTCGTTTACAATGGCATCTAAGGGTACTCGTTACAAAATAAGTTAAACTCAGTGAACAAGGTATATCACTGGTAATAATAATAATAATAGTACCCCTCTGGAGTGCTTTAAATGTCGTATATTACATGTGGGTGTGGTTGCCATGTGGGCTACCATACTGACTTTCTACAAGAAATACTCACATCTCACCCTACATTAAGACCACACATATTTTAGGTAAGTAATGAGTGTACTGTATGTGTATTTTATCACTCTAGGGCATGGTATGGTAGCCAGGTGGGCTATACCTACCACACCTGACTTTCAACAATAAATGCTACTCACCTCTTGCCCTATATTAACCCTTTGAGGGTCCATGCCGTAGATCTACGGCTAAACATTGAGGGTCCAAACTGTAGATCTACACCATGAGCTCAGCTCACTCTGATAAGCTGTGAGCAGTAAATTTGGGCCTAGATATGAGAGAATATATCTATGTGGTATGTGTGCACCACATAAAGCAAATCCTGCAGCACACAGTGCATAATGCGAGAAAAAAAACTGAGACCGTAATTTTCTATTAAAACAGTGACTGCAGTGTTTTTTCACATGTTTTTTATAGTTGTATTTGCGATTTCTTGGTCTCATTTGATAGAATGGAAGACTTGTTACAGAAATAGAGATGGTTTTGATTGGTTTTAGTAATGGAAATGGGTTGAAACTGAGCTCAGAATAACAGAAAAGTTAAATTTTTGCCGATGTTCAAGAGTAAACAAATGATCCCACACGTCTAATACACGCCAGCTGGTGGGTCTAATATATGTTCACAAATGTGATGATATTATTTATACAATTATTACAGTATTGCATAACAGTAAATCTTCTATTTTTTGGTTTGAATAAAAATTCATTATGTGAATAAAAAATCAAAATGGAATTCATTTGTAAAGCTTGAAAACATAACTAATGAACAGAGGAAATGTTAGTTTAGTGACAGGAATGCCTGCATTGTTTATTCTGGACCCTATTTTGAAATTAGAATATTTTGAACTTGGCATTAAATTGGCCAAATTACCAATTTCCGATCACTTTATTTTGTAGTTGAAACAGTTGACGTGGCGATTTCTTGTCCTCAGTCGTTAGAATAGAAGTAATACTAGTGAAATAGCTAAGAATTTGGTCGACTGGAGTAATATAACTGGCGTAAATTGGGAGTCAAAGTCGGCAAAATCGCTGATGCATAAATATCACTGATCAGCCGGGCTGTGGCTCGTACGTTGGTTTGCGTGCAGCCAGCAGCAACAGCCTGGTTGATCAGGCTCTGATCCACCAGGAGGCCTGGTCACAGACCGGGCCGCGGGGGCATTGACCCCCGGAACTCTCTCCAGGTAAACTCCAGGTAAACACATCAAAATTCGCGAGAGCATGATATCGTCAATTTTCCATCAAATTTCGTACTTTTTGTTTTATTACCTTCAGAAAAAGATTCTCTACCATTTCATAAGAAAAAATAACAAAATTATTTTTTGAAAATTCTTGGACACTGGTGCACACTTCAAAATTTGATACCTTAAAATAGTTTTAACCCTGAAAGGGTTAAAACTGTTTTAAGGTAAGTAATGAATGTACTGTGTATGTATTTTACTTTTTATTGTTTTTTTCAATGCCTAGTTCTACTGTTAGCTTAATATATGTTAGTGTAAAGTTATCTGGCACTTGTATGCATTTACAGTGTAAGTTTAAAAAATGGCGTTCTGCTTTCCACCAATATCTGCTTTCTGGCCGTAGCCAGGAACCTAACCTGTCATATAAGTGGGGCTCTACTGTATAACATCCAAGTGCCGCCCATTAAATCAGAATACATGTAATGTTAAAAAATGGCAAAAATTGCTCTTAAAGTACTCTACTATATATAGTCACTTTACTGATTTACAGATATACTAAAAAAACATTGAAAATAAAGGAGTTAAAATGCAATTTAACCAGCAGAAATGTTAAATTTTTGCCGGTGTTCAAGAGTAAACAAATGATCCCACACAATTTAACCAGCAGAAATGTTAAATTTTTGCTGATGTTCAAGAGTAAACAAATGATCCCACACAGTTTAACCAGCAGAAATGTTAAATTTTTGCCGATGCTCAAGAGTAAACAAATGATCCCATACGTCTAATACTCACCAGCTGGTGGGTTTAATATACGTTCACAAATTTGGTGATATTAATTGCTCTACTATATATGTAGTACTTTACTGATTTACAGATATACTGAAAAAACATTGAAAATAAAGGAGTTAAAAATGCAATTTAACCATTGGGATTTTGCCCATAATTTTAAAAGTTCATTATTTCAAGGGTTTATTGTACATTAAGGTTCAGAAATGGCAGCATATGCAATATAAACATAACTTGTAATAAATTCCAAACTAGCTCATTTATCATGTGAGTGGTTCATTTAGTTGTACTGAGAAATGAGAATGTGTGGAGTGAACGAGGACTACCCTAGCTAACATGTTAATGAAAGTTATCACTTAGCTGTACTGAGAAACTAGTATGGAGTTAATGAGAACTGCTATAGCAGATGTAAACAAGTGAGAAAGGAGTAGGAAATACATTTCTGGTACAAGTATAAAAGTGTCAATCAGGGTAAAATACCAGTAGAGTAAATATTCATTTCTTTGTGAAAGTTTTTGTATTGGGTTGTACATACATATTTATCAGTTAATTGTGTAGTTTTGATTTCATTTTCAATCCTCAGATCAACGATGGTTCTGGGATGAAAACCGAAGCCACTCCAGATGATCTTATAAAAACTGTAGAAGAACTGACTAGAATCCATTGAGTGAACAGATGACGAGAAAAGTTATAACCTAGACTTCAAATGTACAGTCTTCAAAGTATACACAAACACACACACACACACACACACACACACACACACACACACACACACACACACACACACATACATACATACATACATACATACATACATACATACATACATACATACATACATACATACATACATACATACATACATACATCTCAGTTCAGTAGGATCCAGAACAACAGGAAACTGGCAGTTACATCACAACTTACAGCTTACAAAACAGTTGAATTATTAGAGCATGTTCGTTATTTGTACCTATTATAACTTAATTATACAGTCTTTGTGGATCCTTAATTTTAAAACCTTCATATTTCAAAACTTTGAAATGTGAAGTTCAAATCATAAATAATAATAATAATAATAATATAATATACCATTATTTTTCATAGTTTGGGATATTAAGTGATAATAAATGTGTGTAACCTAGCAACCCTATCTCCTGTAATATTTTTAATTATTGAAGAAAGAATTGAAGTCAAGTAATTAAGTAGAGGATGTTAAGAATATTATAAATGGTTTTCTGTGGGCTTTTTGGCAGATCAAATTTTTGCTTAACGTATTCATATTTTTTAATTTACTTTTATTTATTGCAGATTTATGCTGCATACAGTAATAACAGATAAACTATAATCATATACTTATTACAGGCAAGTTTGTAATAGTTAACAATATTTTTGTTTGTATTTCACTTTTTGTAAACAGTATTGAGCAAATTGATCGAATTTCAGAGCATTTTGCAAAAGGGTTGTCATGATGTAGGCTATATTTCATCTTCAAAAAACTCAAGGGACATTGACTTTCTCCTGGGAGCTATAAAGGGTGTTCTTACACAGCTAGTCAATATTTGGCATTCCCAAAGAGCAGATTGAGGAAATCCCTTGATAGTGAGTCTCCTTTCTGTTATGGCACCTCCCAAGAGCAAATTTAGAAACTTAACAGTGGCTCACCTTTCTTTGGTGGTACTTTCAAGGAGAGAGAGCAAAGAAATATCCCCAACACTAGGTCACTCTTCTGTGGTGGTACTACCAAGAACAAGTTAGGAAACTGTAATTTGCAAGTAATATTCATGGTAATGTTTAGTTAACTTGCTAGGAAAAGGTTGGGAAAATATTCTTTTATCTGATGTTATGAATATATTTTAGATTGAACACCATAATGTCAAATATAAACTTGATAGGAAAATAGGTAGTTACTCCTGGCAATGTAGGATATATTACTTTACCTTTCTTGAAGCTTTTTTTTATACAGTGCTTGGATTAACATCAGGTATATAATTTACATACATAGTATTGTTATTTTCAGCCTAGCACAGAAACCAAGTATTAGGTAGCTTAAAAATCACCATCACTATGGATAAATATATGTAGATCATGTAAAAGATGGCTGTGTAATTATGGTTCTTTGTATTCATGCATAATGCTGTTTTGCAAGAGAAATGATAGATTATTTTTTGTGGGTTAGATTGGAAGTGATTGAATATCTGTGATGTAATGGTCTCAGTTTATCTTATGATAGATGGTGTGTGATTCAGTTGTCTCTGGTGCACACATGAATGCAGAGACAGTAATTCAGTGGTCACATAGGTAAGGATACTCATAAATTATGATATTTATTGTAAATAAAATATGCAGTATTGCAAAAAAATTAAAAATATAATTTTCTGGATAAAAAAAAGCCTTAAATGTAGGTAATATGATGTTAACAAATTTGTATTCTCAGTTAAAATAGTAGTGCTATATTTCTTGCAATTGTGGATTGTTTTCTGTAAATCTTCTTGAGCAAGGCTTTGTTCATCTGGTTATTTGTTGTTATTGCTGGCAGATCTTTCATACTCCTTCAACGATTAACTTTCGACAGACACACACTTGACAGAGATGCATACTGTTGAGCGAGTTTTATGTAGTCATAATTTTTTTTGCTCTTATATAGCAGTCTTGTATATTCATGCTTTACTTAGAAATTAGAGTTTAGTTTCTAGTTTAACCCTTTTACTGGCTTGCAAGCTAAAGTTGGTGCCATAGTATTATGCCAAAATTCTAGCAGTGTCAGATCTAGCGAGAGAAAGCCGGTAGACCTGCATGTGAGAGAATGGGTCTGTGTGGTCATTATGTGCATTATAAAAAAAGATCCCGCAGCACACAGTGCATAATGAGAAAAAAAACTCCAACAATGTTTTTGTTTAAAACATCAAATTTGAGGTGCATTTTCATATGGTATTTATAGTTGTATTCTCATTTTCTTGGTCTCACTTGATAGAATGGAAGACATATTACAGAAATAGAGATGATTTTGATTGGTTTCACGATGAAAAGTGCCTTGAAATTGAGCTCAAAGTAGCAGAAATGTTAAGGTTTTGCCAATGTTCAAGAGTAAACAAATAATGTCACCGTCCAATACGTGTCCAACTGGCCAGTCTAACACACAGTCGTGAATGGGTTGACATTATTTACACAATTATTACAATAATGCAGTAGTCTGCATAACAGTAAATCTTCTATTTTTTGTGTGAATAAAAATTCAAAACGGAAATCAAGAGTAATATAAGAGGGGCCTGGAGATGTGACTAATGAACAGAGAAAAAATGTTTCTTTAGTGCCAGGAATGTCTGCTTTGTTTATTTTGGACCCTATTTTGAAACTGGCATCTTTTGAAATTTGTATGAAATTGGCCAAATTGCCAATTTCTGACCACTTTATTGGGTAGTTGAAATTGGTAAATGGGGAATTTCTTGTACTCAGTCAATAGAGCAAATGGAGTTCTAGCAAAATAGCTATGAGTTTGGTCAACTTGAACGATGGAATTGGCTGAAAATAGGGCTCAAATTGGGCAAAATTGCTGATGCTTATATATCGCAGAGACCACTAAATTTATGAGAGTGTATTTCCATAAGTTTTCCATCAAATTTCATACTTTTGGTGTCATTACCATCGGGAAGAGATACTCTGTCATTTCATAAGAAAATTTTTTTTTTTTTTTTAATTCTTCAACACTGAGAGCTAGTTTGACAGTGAATGGGTTAAAACAAATATTATGCAAGGAATGTTGTTTGCTCGTATTTGAATAAAAAGCAAATTTCAGTTAAAAATCACATTTATTGTGAGGTGGATTCAAATGTGCAGTAGTGTCTAGATAAGTTTGTGGGGGGTTATTCTGTACATCCAGGATCTGCCTCTTAACTTTTGATCTGCTAGTAGGACCTAGCTTCATCTTATTTACTTTCATATCCAAGGATGAAGTCAGCTGCTTCTGTATTATTACTGAATACATTCTACTGTAATGCTCTTGTGCTCATTAGCATGTTTTTTTTTTTTTTCCTCCCCATTTCTAACCATATTCCTTTTTCTGACACTCCCATGCCTGCATGATTGCTTATTCAAATTTGTATTGGAAGGTCTAGCTCTTTAATTTTTTAATGAACTTATGAGATTTTATTATATCATAAACTTTTGAAACCCTTTATGAAGTCTTTATTTTCACTGGATCCCCAGGTCATTCAACCACTTTGCCACTTATGCTGAATACTTTTCTTATATGTATGTCGCTGTGTTAATGTTAATGTTGCAATTTTATAACTGTGGTGTAAGCATGCCTCTGGCGAGACAGTGATGGGTGAATGATGGAAGTTTTTCTTTTTTCAGGCCACCGTGCCGTGGTGGGAAATGGCCTGTGTTAATAAAAAAAAAATCCCTGTGGTTCATTTAGGGATAAAGTTTTTATATATACCCTCCTCATTCTAGTTTCATTTGCTGTAAATAGGCTTCTCTGTCCATGCCTCAAAATATTTGGTATGTTGTAAATGTATTTCATCCTTTTTGGTCTTTTAGACACAAGGTCTCTCTTTTCTCAGCCCATAGCACCATTTTGAATTCACCGCTTGGGAGTTTTTAAAAGTTTCACTGTGTTTGACTATGTGAGGTTTCTATCCTGGCAATGTTCATTCAAGGTCACATGGGAAGTCAGGAGTATTATATTGAACATCTTGGTCTTAGTTTTTGAATACCCTTCTAATGTTTGCTATATTAGCTTGTGCTGATGATGATTTATAATGTGTATACTTAGGGAACAGGTTAAGATTTTTTTTTTTTTTTTTTTTTTGTCTCCTTGCTTCATTATTTTGCCTTACTTGAGACAAAATCCAGCATCCACTTATTTGACAACCCTGAAGGTTGTGCAAGTATTCTTGTAGTTTTCAATAATCTTATTCAGTTGTATTTCCTTTATTTTGGAATCCTGCACAAACAAAGATGCAGTGGGATGAAATATTAGGATGGGAAAGAAAGTATTTGAGTCCCAATTGGATAATATTTTACCCCATACTGTTTCTAGCTTGTATGTGTATATATATGGTACTTGCCTATTAATATTAGTGAAGAGAGTGGAGGCTAAGAATTGGGGAAGATATTGAAGTCAGTTTGCTCAAAAAAGTGGAGTTCTTGGTAGTAGAAACTCACTGTCAGATGTAGCACATCAAGATGAAATATGTGCATTTTTATACAAGCAGTAATTTTCAAAAAAAAAAAAAATATCAAGCCCACATCATGTAACTGCAATCCAAATGTTAATTTTCTTGAAAATTTAAAATACTTTATCCCACAAAGACAATATAATTTATATAAAATTAAATTCTAATATTGCAATAGTACCCTAAGTAATACTCTGAAGTATAACAATCCTGTGTGATCACTAAGGTACATTCCTGTATGCATGCATGCATGGGTGTGCATTAATATAAATATATACACGTGTATATGTCAGTGTGAAGTGTGAGTGTTTGGATGCTTGTGATCGTACACTTTTGATATCAAGGTGGGTCTGCTGAGTTTGTGAAGGAACAAAATTATTTACAGTGAGAGTACACATTAGTGCAAGTGGTTGACCATCTGCATTATCAGCAGAGATAAGTTTGAGCATACTAATAGAAGAATCTGAACATGATAAACACAAGTACACTTGCACCTTTGTTCTGCCGTTAATATGTGCAAGAATATTGCACAAGTACATAAGCACATTAAACTCTCAACCAGCCTTTTCCCATTATAATGTTGCTATGCAGGGCCTACATCATTTTGTATTTCTAATAACCTGGAATTTTCCTTTTGCTAATTCCTGTGGGATACACCAGGTATTAGTGGCAAGTGAGTTGCACCTTTGGCTGTCTACTGCTCTGGATTGCCTTAGTGCTCAGGTCACTTTTTTTTTTTTTTAACCTTGAGAAAGGCTGTAATGAAATTTTAAGAGGAAATGGGAAGCATTTGAGCTAGATTAAAAACTGCTCTCCTTGACTTACTAAATTGTTATAACACCATTGTAGACAACTCATGGAATGGACAAACAAGATTTGAATCCCTAGCAATCTGGTCCTGAATACCAAGTATTGTATCCACTGTATCATGCTGGCCTAATAAGATTTGTTCAACTAGATACGTACTGTATATTCCTGTACACTAGGAAGGTTGCGATAGATTACGCAAGTGGAAGAAGGATGGTACAACTGATTATTACAATGTCAGTATTGGTTTTTTTTTTTCTTTGCATTTTTAACAGATGAATGTCAAACCAACAAGGCTGTGGCAAGATCTAGCTCAGATACCTTTGAAGCCATTTTAATACCTTGAACTCATTAGGGCTTGCCATGGATAAGATCCTGCCCATTCCACAAGTTATTTGCAATCAGGTTGTTATTGTGATTCATTGATGACAAACTTGAAAGGGATTTGAGCTAGATCTTGCCATAGCCATATTTCAGCAAGATTTATCTGTAAATCCTTTGTGTGGTCACAGTAGTGCACATTCTAACCTTCATAATGTATAGAAGTATACCCCATTAAACAAATTTTTATTTTCAGCATAGTAAGGTAATTAGTGCACTGACCGAATTTTAGAACAAAATTAACATGGGTTCAGATATTTCCCATTCTGTGAAATTGCTATCCTCTTTCAATTGTAATTTTTTTTATAATAAAACTGGAATTTCTCAGTTACTATCAATGATACCATTCTGCTATCAGGTTGACACCAAGAGATAGCAGTTCTAATTCCTTGGATCAAGAGTCCTTACCAGCATTAAGGGGCCTCCCTAGTCAAATTTTTAGTAGAAGCTCCAGGATCTGCATTAACTGTAACCCGCCTCCCCCCATTGTTTCATCCTATAACTTGGATCAAGAGCACCTCACTAGCATCAAGAAGTTTACAAGAACCAACAAAATTTAACTTTATCAAGTTCAGAAACTAGATTGTTTTAAACATTTAACCCCTTAAGGGAGGTTCCTTGATGCTGGTGAGGGGCTCTTGATCTAGGGAATTTGATCTGTGCTCCAGTTCCCTGAATGCCTTCCATTCCCCTCCCACCCAGGCACTGTATAATCCCTATGGGTTTAGTGCTCCCCCATAATTAAACTTAAGCACTGATCACGATTCTGAGCTGTTTAATCTATTGCTTAAGGTTTTTTGAACTCTTAAGATTAATATTTTGGCTATGTAAGGTGGAAGAACCATATGTTACCTAACAATCATAAGTACAGTGGTACCTCGAGTTTTGAACAGCTCCCAACTCGAACAATTATGTAAGTGTATTTTTGTAAGTGCTTTTGTAAGTGTATTTTTGGGGGTTTGAAATGGACTAATCTAATTTACATTATTTATTACGGGAACAAATTCGTTCGGTAATGGCACTCGAACAGCCTTCTGGAACGAATTAAGTTCGTAACTTGAGGTACCACTGTATTATGTTATGCATAGATATTAAGTGTGGTGCATGCAATGACACATAACACGTTTCCACATAGTCAATACAAATGTTTACGTCACAATTTTCAGGCTTTTTTTGCTCTGCTTGTGTCAGTATGGCAATGGCTTGCCATCCAACTGATCATCAGATTTCCCTGATATTTCTTCTCTATGATGGCTACATCTTGGTGAAATTCACAGGAACTGTATGTTGGAACAAAACTAAGTTCATATTAGAATTGTACCCCACAATCAGTTAAAAAACATATTTTTAAACATGAACAACTGAAATCATTGTTGTTGCTGTTATAATCAAAAAGGAAATGCTAAACCCACTAGGGTCATACTGCAGGGCAAGGGCAGGGGGTGATACTGGAGCAGAGTCAGGGGTGGAGAGGATAACAAAGGTAGAGTTTTAGAAAGGGCTGTGAGGAGTGCTAAAGGAAGTATTATCCAAGTTTGTGTAATAAATCGGTTGCTGTCAAAAAGTCAAAGAGGGAATCTGAGTCAAAGGTGGGTCCATCAACAAGGAGGGAAGATAAAGTAGGAGGTAAATTCTGTGTGTTCATCGAAAGACAGGACAGTCCAATAGAATACGGCAGACTGAAAATGGGGACGTGACAATTCTCAGAGTGGAAACAGGGGTTGTGACGCGCCATGAGATCCCTGAGTAAGGTAGGGTGTGCCGATGCAAAGACGAGAGTGTAGTCTCCCAACCTTGGCCCCTCAAGGAAGGTTCCTTGATGTTGGTGAGGGGCTCTTGATTTAGGGAATTGGATCTGTGCTCCAGTTCCCCGGATTAAGCCTGAATGCCTTCCACATCCCCCCCCCCAGGCGCTGTATAATCCTCCGGGTTTAGCGCTTCCCCCTTGATTATAATAATAATAATCCCAACCTTGGCATTGATGACAAGAAGACCAGAATATAATTTGTTATGAGTCATATTGGACCAGAAATGTTGCCAATGGTTGTGAAGGCAGTTAGAGATTACAGCAAAATAGTCTCAGAATGGAATACGTACCTCTATATAAAACTGGGAGGTCATGTATAGCTGGTTCTACAGCAGAGTCTGCCTGCTCATTGCCCTGAACATCAACATGACCAGGGACCCAGCAGAAAAGTATTTCTTTGTTTATTGCTAGAAATGCGGTGCAACCAAAGTTGTATACGAAAACTAGGGGATGAGGCTAATGAATTTTTTTAACAGCTTGCAAAGCACTAAAGGAGTCTAAAAAAAAAAAAAAAAAAAAAATAAAGATTCTACAAATGCTGAGGTAGGCATAGACGCAATACAGATAATTACGATGAGAATTGCATACAGTTCAGCTGTAAAAATGCTAGCAGAGTCTATTAAGTGACCTCGCACAGCGTTGTCCGGGAACAATGCTGCAAACCCAACACCGACAGAGGATTTGGAACCATCAGTGTACACTGCAAGGGCATGAGAATGAGACGACGTGGTTGGAGATAGGAAGGTGAGCCGGCACTGTAGGTATTTGAGCTTTCACGCACAGCAGTGAGAAAGAACAGACATGAACTGTTGGAACTTCCTAGGGAGGGAAAGAAAAGTTAGATGCTAGATGAACACACAAAGGGGGCAACTGAAGAGAAGTCAAGAGCGATTGAAGACGAAGAGAAAAGGGACAGAGTAAACGAGGGTGGTGAACGAATAATGGACTTCTACTAATGACTTTTACTAACCTATATGTAGATAGATCTTGAAGGTTATGAGAGTGGACAAAATAACAGAAGCATTGGGCATCACAGTGATCGTTCAAGGATGGAAACATTTGCCTCTGCATATAGGCTCTTGACAGGAGAGGAGCGAAGAGCACCTAGACATAAATATAATCCTGATGATGGATGGAATCAAGTTTAGAAAAAGTTGCAGGAGAGACTGCAGAATATATCTGGTTCCCATAGTCTAGTTTTGATAAATTTAGGGCCGAATGCAGTCGAAAAGTTTTACAACTCACCCCCCCCCCCATCCCACCACGAAAGATAGGCAAGGGTTTTAAGGAGGTTCAGCCAGCTATGGTAAGTTACATTCAGGGAGGTAATGAGGCTTCCAGGACAGCCAGCAATCAAACAGGCTGAAAAATCTAACCATATCACTTTCAGGGATATGGGAGTCATGCAGGTACAATGGAGTATCAGAGACAACATCATCTGGTGAAAGTAATTTGGTGCATTGAANATAAAGGCACCAGAAAATTTAAACCCATGTGTAGTGGCCCAATGGAAAACATGGTTAACAGAATTCTGGAGTGAGGCTGCTACTAGGCAACCACCAGCACTTGCACAAACCATAGCAAAGTCATTGACATTAAGTGATGACCAAATATTAGATGGGAGAACAGAGGCCAGATCATTTATAGCTAGTAGAAAAAGAGTGGTGCTAAGTACACCTCCCTGAGGACACCCTCAGCTTGGACAAAGTTCCCTCTTCAAGGGGGGCTTCTTGGCGCGGTGAAGAGGCTCTTGGTCTGAGGAGTTAGACCTTTTGGTCTCCTTCCTCAGACCGAGCCTAATTACCCCCTAATCCCCTTTTCCCTATCCCATCCCCCCCTTTCCCTTTCCTCCTCTACCCCATCCCCTTTCCTGTTTTCAGCCTTGGGGATTGTTCACGGTACTCTAGTTCTAGGTTGGGTGGTAGGGTATGTGTCATCCCATTTCCATTGAGGTCCATGGTGGTGGTGTAGTTTGCCATGGAATCTGGATCACCTGGGGATGGCTTTGAGTGTCTTTCGGGTGATGGGTGTATCTCTGGAAGCTACCTTTTGGATTCTGGGGGGAGGGGTGGCTGAAGGAGGTATGCTTTGTGGCAGGTATCCGGCTGCCCTCTCTTTTGTTCACCGAGGTGGCTTGGTAGATGTGAGGTTGCTATCTCAGACTGCTGGTTTATTGGCATGAAGGGTAGGGTATGGCATGGGTTTCATGAAACCCATGCTGGGGTTCTCTTGGGCGTGGAGGGGGATTTATGGCCCTTTCATTCCTCCTAGGAGCTATCCCTCCATGTTCACCCCCTTATTTTAATTTTTTTTTTTCTAAAAAACAAAGAAAAGTGACATAACCATGGAGTCCCAAATCCACAAAACAGCTCCCCTGTGCCCCTTTCTGCTACCACACCTTGTCCCAACCTTACCTCATTATTTGACCACTCTTTGGACATTTCTAATGCCCCTGTACCTCCTGCTGGTGCCGTTTCGTCACCTGCTCCAGGTACCGGGATTCCACCAGATTCCTTTGATACATCTGACCTCTACACTTCTTTGACCATGCTTCCGGCTTCTCCCTCTATTGTGCAGCGATTTTAGGATTGCCCGCCCGTCCCCCCAATGCCCTACTCCAGTCCCACACCTAAACGCCCAGGACAATTACCCAATGATACTCCTTTGCTTCCTTCTCATTCTGCCCAGAAAAGACCGGCATGACACACTCCCTTTACATGCTATGTTTCAAAATACACAATGGACTAAGTTTTTTTACTCTGCGACCGACTTCTATCTTTCCGATCATAGTACAGTGGACCCCCGCATAACGATATTATTTCAATCCAGAAGTCTGTTTGGGTGCCGTTATAGACCGAATTTGTTCCCATAAGAAATATTGTGAATTAGATTAGTCCATTTCAGACCCCTAAAAATACACCTACATTATTATTATAATAAAAAAGAAGCGCTAAGCCACAAGGGCTATACAGCGCTGCAGGGCAGGAAGGAAGCGAGGGCATCAGGTGGCAAAAGGGAGGTGGATGAGTAATAGGTTACGGATAACAGCGGAGCAGTGGATGGTGAAAGGGTAAAGGGCAGCAAGAGACTGAGCTAGAAAGGGCTGAGGGGATGGTGCGTAAGGTATCATTCATCAGAGTTTGTGGAGGTAAATCAGTTCGTTGTCAAGAAGTCAATGGAGAGAGTCATGATTAAAGGAGGGTCCCATCAGCAAGAAGGGCAAGGTAAAGTGAGAGTTAGTTGACGAAGACGGGATTGGTGGGTAAAATCTGCGTGCTCGTGATAGGGAGGGCAGTCAAACAGAATGTGGCTAATCGATACTGGAAACTTGACACTGCTCACAGTGTGGTACAGGGTGCCTATCCTTGAAGGTTATCCGTTGAGTAAGATGAGTGTGGGCCAATGCCGAAGACGGGAGAGAGTGGTCTCCCAACCACGCACTGATGACAAGAACGATGGCCAGTAACCTATGCTCGGTTTAATAGAATGACGTTTGTTACCATGCAGAGTTGACAAC